CAGGATGCAGGAACCCCACAGTCTGGAATTCTTTGGTGGGTATCCAAAGGTTGCTTTTCCTCAGGGTTGTGCAGTTGTAGATGGCACCTGGAAGTGAGTCCTTTCGTAAGTTTTGGTCCCAGGCCCTTTGCTTAGCTTACCCTAGTAGAGCCCCGTAGTACAAGGCACCATAGCATTGAGGAAAGAGTTTTGAACAGGCTTGAGTTCAAATTTGTGTTCTGTCACTTGCTGGCTATGTGGCTTTGGGTAAGTGACCCTCTTGAACCCTCCGTTTTCCCTCTGTGAAAGGGGGATAGTAATGTGGGCTATATAGGATTGTTGGGAAGTTTAAATGAAACCATGAGTGTATCTTATTCATATATTGTAAATATTTATTCTTTCAAAAAGGCAAGATCTGGGCAGGCTGAGTGGCGCGTTGGTTAGGAGTTGTCTTGGGACGCCAGCTCTGAACAGCAGGAACCCGGTTCAGATCCCATGAGGGCCAGTGACCCTGTGCCCTCTACAGCTAAGATGGTGAACAACACCTTGACCTGGAGCTGGGCTGCTGTGAGTCGCTGGTGACAGCGTGGGCTGCAGTGGGGCTGGTGGGCACCTGGCGTGCGCTTTCATGAGCTGCCATGAGCCAATGGCCAGTGAGCAACTGCCTCCCCTGGGAAGAAGAGCGCAATGATAATACCAATATGGGCCAGTGAAGCAACGTCCTCCACAACTAGACTGAAGAACAAAAGGACAGCAACTTGTCTGTTCCCCTTCCCCGATTCCCCAACACTGTTCCCCTCCCCCAATTCCCCAATAAAATCTTAAAAAAAAAAAGGCAAGACCCTGTGCTAGACTTTGTAATAGACATGAAGGTAAATAAGACCCCAACTACCTTAGGGTCTGGTGGGAAGAATAGACATTTTCTCAAGTACTCTCATCAGGTTTCACTTGAGTTTAAAAGATCCTACAAGTTCCAAATTCATTTCATCACCCACCAGTTTCTGGTAATCCCTGGTGTATGCTGGATGTTTGTCCCTGGGCTTGGAGCCAGAGCTCTGTGAGAAGGGGGAGGGGAAAAGGTGGTTCCCCAGCAAGGAAAGGAGAGCAAGAGAAGGAAAGCAAAGGGAATTTTTCTGTATACCTGAGTAAAAGCAGGCATGGACCATCGTGGCCTGAGCCCTGGATATTCTGTCCAGTGTCCCAGCCTTCTCATAATTTATTTCTAAGAAGGAAGAGGTCCTCCCACATTAATTACCAGAGTCACCTTCTCACGCTCCGTTCTCACCCAGACTGAAGTGTGTAGAGGGTGGAAATGCAGGTGAGTTTCAGATGCCATTTCATTGAGGAAGAGATGCTTAGGAGCCCTGTAGGAAGAAGGAACAGAGAGGCTGAGGGGAGAAGGTGGAGGCCGGGAGCAAAGGCTAGGAAGTGAATTCTGTTTAGGCTCTACTTACTTTCTGAGTGACCATGAGCCAGGCAATTCTTCTAAGCCTTGGCTTTCTCCTCTGTAAAATGGGCATACTAGCAGTGCTTATCTCACTATCATTTCCATTTTGCAGATGAGAAGATTCATCTGTTCGTGGTTACATAGCTAACAAGTGATAGAGCCCGGATTTAAACTCAGGCATAGCTGCTTCCAGGGCACCTGATTTCAATCATCTCACTCCTCTGTTTTACTGTCTTCTTGCACCAGTCAGAGTGTACATTTTTAAAAAAAGATTTTATTGGGGAATTGTGGGAGGGGAACAGTGTTGGGGAATTGGGGAAGGGGACCAGCCAAGTTGTTGTTCTTCAGTTTTCGTTGTGGAGGGTGCCAGTCGCCATCCGGCTTCCCATTGGCAGCTCGTGGCCTCTGAGCTCAAGGTGCTGTGTTCAATCTTAGTTGCAGGTGGGCATAGCCATCATCCCATGCGGGAGTCGAACCAGCAGCCTTGCTGTTAAGAGCGCACGCTCTATCCACTGAGCCATCAAGGTGGCAGCTCAGCTCAAGGTGCCAAGTTCAGTCTTAGTCGTGGGTGGGCGTAGCCCACCATCGAACAGGCAGTCTTGTTGTTACACCAGCTGAGCCATCCTGCCACCTTTTGGCAGCTTAGCACCTGCTCAGCTCGGGCACAGCATCACTGGCCCATGTGGGAATTGAACCAGCAGCCCTGTTGCTCAGAGCTCGCGCTCTTAAGCCAACTCTTAACCACTGAGCCACTCGGCCAGCCCAGAGTGTACATTTTTTGAGAACAAAGCTTACAGCTCAGAATAGTGAACTTTTGTCTGAGGTTATGCTTTTAGATGAGTAGTGGGATCTTAGATTTTGTCATGCCTTCCCAAATAAACTTGTTGCAGCTGCGATGAACATATAACAGCAATAGGGTTTGCAAAGTGGTGCCTTTCATAAGCAGGCCCTCAGGGACCGGCAAATGGAGCATGGGCTCCAATGTGACCCCAAGCCGACCCTCAGAGATGTTTGCTAAAAGTGTTCCTGGCTCTATTGGGACATGAGTCCTTGGATGCCTGCCAGCTGGGTGGAGAAGGTGCAGCTTTATAGATCTACGTGGCATTTTAGAATATGGCAGAAAACCAGGCAATCCCCAGCCCAGCATGGAGGAGGTCAGCACCCCTAGGCCTCACAATTCCTGCCTGGCAGTGTGGGAGTGTTTGAGAAATGGGGGCATGGGTGGCTTCCCATGCATGTGTTTGTTGAGATGGGGTGGAATGGTTTTCCAGGAAGACCTGCCTACCTCCCCTGTTAGAACTGAGGTTTGCGTATTATAAATGGACAGCTACCACAGAGAGGTGAGGAGGTATGCATGTGGGGGAGCTGCAACTCATAATCCAAGAGGGAATATGAAATGAAGAAAAGATATGCAAAAAACTACCTTGTGTAATATTAATTGCTAACAGTTACCAAATGCTACTATGTGCATTATTTGATTGATCCCTCCCAGGGCTCACAGTACTGTTATCATTCCCGTTTTACTGATAGGGAAACAGATCAGAGAGGCTAAGTGGCTGCCCAATGTCACAGTAAGTGGTAGAGCAGGAACACACATCCAGAAAGTTAGAAGCCATTCTCTTAGCCTTCAGCATCTGTGATTGTCACAGATGGCAGTACGTCTGAGCCTGAGAAACCCTTGGGGAACATCTATTTAAGCCTCTTTAGCATCAGGTGGGGAAGCTGAAGGCACAGGTATGCAGTCATGGACCGGTACCCGCTGGTTAGTGATAGCCCAGAGCTGACTGCAGGGCCAGGGTGAGGGTGAGGCAGGAAGGCCCTAGGGTGTAGAATGTGAGGTGCTCACTCTCAGATGCCAAGCCTGGACTTGCACAACCCTGGGTGTGAGCGCTTCCTTACAATTTGTGCCTGAGGTACCTGACTTTCCTCACCCCAGCTCCAGCCCTGACCAGATGCTTCTGGTTTTGTGGTGTGACAAAACAGGACCAGGCATGGGTTTATTTGCTTTTTCCTGTCCCAAGGCAGGGAACCGATGGGATAGTTATGTGGAGTTTTGTCAATATCCCAAGGTAAGTTTCTACCCAGGGGCTGGATGGGGGTTCTGCTTCTGGTTGGTACCATGGAAGGGACAGTACTGAAGGGGGAAAAAATCTGGCCCCAGCAATTAGGTGCGAGACTAGAAGAGTCATGATCCTGTCTTGACAAAGCAGGGTGGCAGAATGGGGGCCATGGGAACTGGGACCCTCCATCTGTCCTCTGGACCCACTGGGCTGAACTGGGGAAGTGCCAGGAAAAGCTTGTAGGGCTGGGACTCGCTCCATCAGACCCAGAATGAAGTCTATTATCGGTGGTTGAATCCGGAAGGCTAGGTGCTCAGACACGTGTATAGACTCAGAGTTCCCAAAGCCTCAGACAATGTGTCTACTTTATTAGCAAAAAAATTCTTCCCAGAGATGTGTACAGAACCTTTCCCCAAGTCTAGGCCTTCCTGCTCTTGTAGTTCAAGGAGAAAAGGAGACAACCACACAAGCAAAGCATCTGCTGCTACTCCATCCCTGATAAGCGGGAGTAGAGAAGGTAAGTCCCTCATTTCTTGGAGAGGAGTCCTGGTGGGGAGAAGGGTTTTCTCGTGCTACATCCCAGAGCCAGGTCCTCCCCCTCTCCAGGGGGCAGTGAGGTGACCCAAGGTGCTGTTGCAGAGGGAGAAGGCTTTCTCTCCCGTGGCCCTGGGTGCAGGGGGCTGGGGGCTTGGGGCAGGCAAAGACACTGGAAGGAGTGAAGCCGCCTCTGGCACCCTGACAGCTCCGGGGTCAGCGGAGGACCCCTGCCCCGGCTGCAAGGGGCAGTAGTGGACTAGGCGCTGCTTCTGGAGTTGACCTTGTCGCGTGCTGTCCTCCCTGTGGGCCTCAGTTTCCTAATGTTCCCAGGAGCGGCTCAGCCCCGCATGCCTAGAGGCCTGACGTTCTGGGTTCTTTGCCTTTCTTGCCCTTTCCCTCGTCTCGATGTTTTTTAAACCTTTGGGGTCCCAGCCTCCAGCCCTGGCCCGTCCTTCTCTGTCCTCAGCCTGTGACCAGCACGGCTGGGGGCTACCCTGGTCCTTCTCGGCCCCCGGGGGGACCCCCCCCATCCGGAGCGGGGAGAAGGAGGCGGCACGCAGGCCACTCTGATTCACCGGGAGGGAGAAGGGCGTGGGGATGAGAAAGCAGAGTAGAGACGGGAAAGGTTAAAAGGAGAAGAAAAGAGCAAGGAGAAATAGAGAGAGGGCAGAGAGAGAAAAAAAGGGATTGAGAGAAACGAGCAAAAGAACGAAAGGGGGGAAGTGAGAAGAGATGCTGGAAAAGGTTGAGTCAGAGAAAAAAGAACCTAAAGGAAAGCTGAGAGACTAAAAGATGGGATAAAGAGCGAGCGAGAGAGCGACAGAGCTAGGTCTGAAAAGACCGAAGAGGGAGAAAGAGAAAAAAAAAAAAAGGAGGGGGGAGAACGGAGGGAGGAAGCCGTGAGCTGGGAGGAGGGCGGCTGGGAGGGAAGGAGAGAGGGAGGGACCGAGGGACGGAGGGGGTGGGGGCTGGCTCGGCAGCAGCAGCGCGGCTCCAGCCGCCCGCCGGCTCGTTCACTCGCTCGCGGTGCCCGCCGCCTGCCGCCCGGCTCTGGGCTGCTCGCAGCTCCGGCTCCTGGCCCGGCGCTCTGGCGTGGCTCGGGCTCCGGGGGACAGAACCGCGCGACTGGCAGGCTAAACCCCGGGCGGGAGGCGGAAGCAGGTAGGTGGCTGGGCGGAGACTGCGAGGACGCGGAGCCTCGGAGCGCCGGGGGCGCAGGGAGACCCGGGTAGGGGAGGGGGCTTTGCAGCCTCGCGACTAACTTTCCACCGGTTTTGTGGATCCCCGCTGCCCTGCCCGGGTCCCGGATTGTGGAAGCGGAGTTTGGCGCGGGGCGAGGGTGAACGCCGGGGTTTGGAGAACGCCAGGGAGTCCTGACAGGACGCGGTGGGGCGGCCCCTGGCGTAGGCAGGCGCTGGCCCTCCGACCGCAGTCGGGACGCAGCGCCCACGGCTGGGGAAGACCGGAGCTCAGCGGCGCGGCGCGGTTGTCCCAGGGAGGGCGCACGCTCGCCCCTCAGAGTCAGGGGACTCCCACCCCCGAGCCTCTCCGGACTCGCCCGCTGCGCGCAGCGCAACTGGCGCCTTCCCTGCCCGGGTCCGGGCGCAGAGCCTGCGCGGCGCGCGCGGTCAGGTTCCCGCCCCGGCCAGCGGTGCGCCTCGCTGCCACAAGCCCCAGACGGTGCCATGCGCGCTTTTGCTTTTTGGAGGCGCTAAACCGAACGGGTACCGCCTTCATTTCTTTCTCTTGCAGTCGCCCCGACTCTCTTCGGGGAAGTCCGGTACGCCCGACACTTGGGTTGACTCCCTTGACGTCCCTCCTGCTTTCGGCGACGACCCCTGCTCCCGAAGTTAAGAAAAGCGAATCATTCCCAGTGCGCCCCTGGAGCGCGGTCCGGAAGTTCCCAACTTTTCGCCCGTCCGTGGGCGGTAATGTTGGAGGTGGGGAAATGGGTGGTCGTTTTGGCCCCTTGGAGCCGCAGAGCGCATCCGCCTTCCTCCTGGACTTGGTTTATTTTCCTAACTTGTTGGAAACAAATACGACTTAAAAATATGCAAAGTCGTTCCTTGCGGGCGTTAAGGTCTGTGAGTGGGACAGAGCCAGGACCCATCCAGAACCTGGGAGTGAGGAGCCTCGGCTAGACCATTCCCGAGCCCCCCATCCCTGGCTCCTTTCTCCCGGACCTGTACTCCCAGTTCCATTCTACGGAACCGCTTCTCGGAATCCATCCCGGTTAGCCTGCGCTGCGGGGCTGCTCTGACTCCCTCCCGCGTGGTCATGTTCTCTAGAAAAATGCTTCAAAGTGGCTCTGTCTTAGGATCTCCCGCTCTGTTCCTCCGGGAACGCATAGAGCAGGGCCTCCAGCGGGATGGTCTGGGCTCCTGATCATCTCAGCTAGCTTTAGCAAGGGTACACGTGTGCCCGGGCATAAGCTCTCCCCGCCGCGCTCTGCCGGGAAAGTAGAGGTTAATGCCGGAACCAAGTGGCTGCGAACGGGGAGGTTAGCCGGGGCCGTCGGAGCCTGCCGGGGACAGGGGTCCTTTCGCTCCCGGATATCAGGAGGCCGGGTTCACCAACCTGGGGGGCTTCCTCGGAGGCAGCGGGGGGCCCTCGGCCTCGCAGCCCGCTTTGTCGGGGAGGTTCTGTTGAAAGGTTTGGAGCAGGTTTAGTAGGACCAAGATCTGGGGGCTTTGCGGAGAAAGTCCCTCGGCAGTAGTGCACTGCAGTTTGGGCGGGGTCCCCGGAGGGCATTGAACCGACTACCGAGGAGCACTCCATCCTAAGCTCGTTTGGCGGGTTTTCCCTGGTGCACACCACGCACCAGGTCTCACTGTTGTTCACATATTGTTTAAAGTCGCCAGAAATTAAAGGTACACCACTGCAGTCTTCACCTCTTCTTCCCATCTCACGGATTAGCAAACGGAGGCTCCGATGAAAGTTTAGAGGTAGTTAAAGGTGGAAAGGAATGTAGTACTCAATGCTGCCATTACCACTTTCTCAGCACTGGGCAAGTGTTCCCAGTCACAGCAAGCCCTTGTCAGGATTGAGGGCTGGCCGTGTGTGATGTTAGAGGCAGAGAGGGCTGGTCTCTGGATTCTATCCTTAGGTTCTGTGCTGTGATTATCTCCCAGGATAAATCACTTAGGTGACAGTTTGTTGCATACCTATCCTGTGCCTGCACTTAGGTCTGGGGGTAAAAAGAGCCCTTAGACATGGCCCAGCCACATAAAGTGCAACCCACAGGGAAAGAGCAGCCGTTGTTTTGTAGTATAGGCTTTCTCAGGTGAAATTGATTTTGGAGGGGGCAGGATTAGGGATAGTCCCTGGAGAAGGGAGGGTTTGGAATTAAGCCTTGGATAGATTTTCAGTTGGGAGAGGAGGCTTGTGGGGCACAGGGCTTGGGCACAAGGCCAAGAGAGAGGCAGGAAAGCTCAGGAATTGTTAAGTGGCTGGTTAAGGGACGCCAGGGTCAGGGCTAGGGGAATTTGGCCTTTGAGTGAGAAGCACTAGGGCAGCTAGAAGGCTCAGCTGCTCGGAGCTCAAGCTCAAAACTTGGCCCCAGAAGTCTTCTATTTCTACATTTAGGGTGAGCAATTGGCCGGGAGGTTGGCACCCCATGAACCAAGGGTTATGGCTTTCTGCTGGGAAGTATTCAGGCATTTGCTTCTCCTTTCCCCCCATTTCTCATTGTTCCCTGGGGTTTCAAAAACAGTTAACCCTTGAACAACGTGGGGGAGGAGGATTGTTAGGAGCGCCACTCCCCCCCAATAAAAAATTTGCTTATAACTTTAGACTCCCCCAAACTGTAGTCATTCCTTTGTTTATCAGCAGAGGATTAGTTCCAGGACCCCCCGCAGATACCAAAATTGAAAGCTCAAGTCCGTTATACAAAATGGCATAGAACAATGTAGACAGTTGGCTCTCCGTATCTGTAGACTCCCAACGTGAATGGAAAATACCATTTTCGAGCCAACATTGGTTGAATCTCTGGATGTCAAACCTCTATGCAGGCCGACTAGAATATTGACTGAAAAAAATTCCAAGTATAAAAAAAAAGAAAAAGAAAAAATTCCAAGTATAAGTGGACCTGAATAGTTCAAACCTGTGTTGTTCATGATCAATTGTAGTTTCTTTGCCTCCTTCCTCACCATAACTTTTAGAATTTAGATACTTGAGTGTTTTGGACCTACTGTTGGACTTACTATGGGCAGGGCATTTATTGCACTAGGAATATTTAGCCAACAAATAATTCTTGAGCTCCTACTTTGTGCCAAGTACTGGTCTTGGGGGTACAGCAGAGTACCATACTTCACAATGCTGACATTGTAGGTTTCTCACCTCCACAGGCTTCAAGTGTAGTTGCAGAGTGGAAGCAAATACACAAAAGATGTCTGAAAAAGTGCTGAAATGGGATAAGAAGACAGAGAATCCTGAGCCTCCCCCTCTTGTGGTACAAGGCTCCAAGGTGAAAAGGCTTGAAGCTGTTTGTTGGCTATGAGATTCAGAGATTCTGGGAGATTGTGAGAGCTTCTATGACCCCAGCTTCTGGTTGCCAAGGGTAACCTGGAGGCAGCTGCATTGATGACCTCAGATATGGCAGTGGAAAGTGCTCTGCAGAGCTTCTGCCAATCAGAATATGGCAGGAGGGAGCTGGTGAGCGTTGGCAACTGTGATCATGCTAGGTATCCATAGAGACTGGTGCCAGGTAACCATGTGTCTCTTAAATTTCAGCATCCACAGCTACTTGGCGAACTTCGTAGCCCCATTGTACAGATGGGTAAAGGGAGCCCTGAATCTGCAGCTTGGGACAGCTATGCAGAAAGGGGAGCCCAGCTTCTATAGAGTCCGGGTATCCCTGATCTCTGATTCACTTTAAAATGATGCTCTTCTCTTTCTATTTGGTAGACCAGTGGTCCCCAGACTTCAATGTAGAAAGCTTGTTAAAACACAGATTGCTGGGATCCACCCACAAATTTTCTGATTCAGTGGGTCTGGAGTGGGCCCAGTAATTTGCATTTCTAACAAGTCCACAGGTGATGCTGATACTCCTGGTCCTGGGACCACATTTAGAGAACCACTGTGGTAGAACAAGAGAAAGCAGATGAGTTTCTTGAGATTGTGCAGTGGAGGAGCCTGGAACAAAGGCTGTGATTTAGCTCTAGGAACTCGCAGAACTTGCCTATGTACAATTCCCCTCCCCCTTACCCCCCAGGAGGCCATAGAATTAAAAGAATATTTTATCTTCATCAGCACACAGAGAGAATATATTGCAATATAATTAGGGAATAAATAGGTGTCATGTGTTGGATGTGAGCTCCATGCCCCGTGGCTCTGTGGGGGTTTATTATAGCAGCGTTATAATTGAAAAGGTGTCAGCCTCTCTGAGAGTCCCTCATGAAACTTTCATGGTCTGGGTGGTCATTGTCCAAAAAGACACGTTTTCTTCATTTAAAAGAAAGAAAGAGAGATTGCTTCTCCTTCTAATGGGACGACCTGTGTTTCATTTGACACTAACTATGCAATGTGTTCTTAGGGGAGAAAGAAGGAAATTGAACAGTCAGTGTGAAGAGAGAGCGGTTGGAAGAAGTCCACATAACAGGTTTATAGGTCTTTTTGTTCAACATTTCAACACATTTTGAAACTCTGTCTGTTTCACCTACATTTCTGATGTGAAGCTGTATCTCAGCAGGAAGAAAGGAGAGTTTGTGTTTCAACTTAGCTGGTTGGGTAAATGTAACAGCCCACTTTATCCCCAATGTGTTAATTAGACCCCAAAGAAAAGAACTATAAAAGAGTTGTTTTCCTAAATGCTGGCATTTTTCATCTGGATTCTATTTATTGATTATTTTACAGTCGAGAAGTAGCAAAAAAAAAAAATCCGTGTTTTTATAGCAAATAAAGCTGGCTGCAGTGATTATGCAGGCTCAACATGTCTGTTCTGGAGCAGGGAGCTGGAATTCAGCCTGACTCTCAAACATTTGGATGAGTCTAATTGAGAAAGACATTTCAAAGAACAAATATTTAGGAATGCGGAGTTTCAATGATGGTCTCTGTGGGCCAAATGCAAGTATCTTGCTTTTAGCTCAATCCTCAGAGGTGGGGGGAGGTGATGGGGAAGCACCTGGTCAGTAATGTTGAGACCACAGTCCAAATGTGAGGCT